CCCACCCACCCACCATCACTGTGCTTTCCTCCCAACTCTGAGATAATTTCCTCAATCTGTCCCTAGACACTGACAGATCACATAGATTTCTGAAATTCTTAGGGAATTATCACGTAGTCTTCTTTGAAGATCCTGTTTCCAACTGGGATCTCCGGAGTACAATAATTACTTGGAATATTTGCTTCGAGACACACTTGATCTAACTGTAGAATTGTGTTGGACAACTGGTGTTTGAGAAATTGAAAGCAATGAGGTGATTAGGACAATTTTTCAGTGCATATAGCAGAAAACCAACTTGAGCACAATCAGTTTGAAATCTAAGAGGCCAGAGATGTACACAAATTTATTTGGATTTATCTTCTAGATCCTTGTATACCATGATTGCCACGTGTTATCAAAGTTGACCTCAGCTGAATATCTGCAGGAAACTAAGCCAGGGAGACAATTATATAACCTATTTGAAAAACCTAGCTAATATCCTATGGCTGGAACAATTATTACTTGGTCTTTAGTTTCCTTCTTTAGAACAAGATTTAAGAGAGGGTTTTGTTTTTTTAGTTCTTGGTATTCTTAGGAGAAATTATGTTTGGGCCTCCAGTTCTATATCATAATCTATCATAGAACCTATCATAATCTATCATCTATCACTAGGTGAACTCTTCCATGCCATAAACTGCCTCAGGGTTCACTCAAATAAAGCCACTGTATGCTGTCATCTGAAGGACCAGCTGCAATATCCCCAGTGCACAGAAGGCAAAAACTCAGCCTCTTCTCTCATGTGATTATTTCAGATGTTGTGAATAATCAGTTGGATGCTGCTTTGACATCTATACAAAAAAAAAAAAAAGCTGAAACATCTTTCCAATAAGAAAGAATTTAATTTAATATCAAATAACCTCTTCAAAATTATGTAAAACTCTTATAGCAAATACAATAACTTTAAAATCTTTTTAAAATATAGGAAGAGGGATTTCAATACGATGAATCATTTGGAATTCTTTATGCTTTAAAATTCACATTGACTCTGTTGTGACAAATCATGAAGAACAACTATAAAAATAATCCATAGAAGTCCTACACCTCAACATGTTTTTATAGTAATCAGCTTCTTTCCAGATTGTTCTGAAAGGGTTATAAATATATATCACTATCTCTGCTGGCAGTGCCCTTTTCATTCCTTATTCTGGCTGAAAGTTTTTGAAGAAACTGGAATACTTAAACTACAGTCTTTGGGAATTAATTCTTGTGTAGCTTTATCCATTTTTTTCCCAGGACATATTTAAAAATGCAACACAAGAAATTAATTCAATTTGTGTTGTTAGTTGTGTTGTTAGGCCAGATTTACTATGGAAAACATTGGAAAACTAAGGTATGTCTTTCTTTGGCTCAGTGATATTATAAGTGTGGGAAATAGAACTGGCTGAAAATTAACACAGCAGCAAAGGATCTTGAAGTGTCATTTAGAAGAAGATTGTTTTACTCATATTTTGTCTCCCTTTCTTTAAACTAGATTAAAATAATTATTCTTAATTTATTACTTTATATAAATGTGTTTTGAACAGAAATATTGCATATGGATGTTTGTGTTTCTATTCTATATACTCCTAATGATGCGTTGGAATTTTACTTTTCTGTTTGGGGAGGTTGTTCTTTAGTATGCTTTTTTATTTTATTTTGTTAATTTTAAAAAAAAGAGGAGGTTCTGACAAGTGGATGCTTCTACATGATGGTCCTAAGACAATCAGATGGATTTTACTCTGAAACATGATTTTGGGGAGAGCTGCAGTAATGAGGAATGCTTCTTATCAACTAAAGGTGATATGGTAGATGGACAACATAGTCCTTTAATCTCATCCACCACAGAATTTCTTTAGTTCAAGGTTCTATAGTTTAAGACAACGTGGCAAAATATTGTTGAAGGGCTTAAAAAAAAGTATGTTCATAAGTTTCTTTATATTGTGCAGTGTCCCCAACCTTTTGAATCCAGTGGGCGCATCTGGAATTCTGGATTAACAATAAGGGCATCTACTGGGGGGAGGGGAGGTGGTTCAAAGAAGTCAAGATAATGGCCATGACCACGTGATTGAAGTCCCACTTTTTTTAAAAAAACGTGGCGTCCTTGCGGTTCTCTGAGCTTGGTTGTTTTCTTGCAAACGTTTTGTTACCCGGCTAGGTAACATCTTCGGCACAGATCCCCAAGGACTCCACAGTTCAACCCTGAGCTACATATATTCTCTTCTATTTTTTACATGTGACACAAGTTTAAAAGGATGGGGCTTTGTTTGCACAGCCACAAGAGAACATCTTGACTTTTTTCATCCCCCCCCCCATGCTTCTGTTAGGAAACACACCACAAAACCATACCACAGAAGTTAAACTAATAATGTTCAGAGAAACACACATGGTGCTAAAAACAGACATGAAAACAAACACACATATATGCAGCATAGGTAAATTAAAATCACAAATCTTTCACACACTTACTAGGCTCTGGCAGAAAATAAATAGGCCAGCTGTAAATCAGGATCTTAGCATCCATTCTTTCTATGGTGGGTCTTAATTCCTCAGTTTCTGAGCTAACAGGTTCACTGGCTTGCTCAGTTTCCAATAAAATGATGTATCCATCTGGGCCCTGACATCTTCAAGCTTACCTTTGTTTTCTCAACAAGCAAAACACTGCTAAGCAAAGCACTGGGTTACTATTTCTATTTCCTAAGAATGCCTTTGGAGCACTCTTTTTAAGGGTAGAGTAGAGCAGAGAATTTGGCAGGCACTGAAAATCAGTATATAAAACTTACAAGTAAGTAGCCTTCCCCCCATCCTAATCCATAAACAAAGCACTTTCACATAGCAATTTTATCCCTATCAATACAGTCTATATTTGCAGCAATTTTATGTTTTAAAAGTTGCAGTTTACAATCATGGAACCACACAATATTTATCTTTAAATTTGAACACAAGTATTATTTACAGTGTAAACATATATATGAATGTAGATCTAGGCAACAATTCTATATGAATTTATATAGGAATAAATAATTGAACTCAATGGTATATACTTCTGAGAAGACATGTTTATGATAACATTGTTAATGCAGTAAACCAATTGTGAGATTTTTCCTCCTATCACTTTTTTTCCAACCTTGTTTGTTTTGTTTTTAACACTGACAAATAAAGAAGAACCTTGTTTCTTGGAAAAATGAATAGATTTGTCAACTTAATTGGCCATTTGTGTGCCTTTAACTTCAGTCTGAGATTCAGCAGATGAAGCTTTCTGACAATTTTATCAGGAAACAAGCTCATCTGCTACATTTCTGCGTGTTATCTTGCTATTAAAGCTAGAGGAACAGAATTTGCAAAAGTCAAATCTAGATTAAACACACTTCAACTGTCCCCCTTTTCTGTCTGCTCTGTCATCTCCTCACAACTCCCAATACTTCTTCATGTGCTTTGTTTCATTTGCTAATGTATGGTTGTTCAGATATAGCTGAAACTACAGTTCTCACGATTGCTCACCACTAGTCATGTTGTATGGGACTACTGAGCATTGCAGACTGACAACATCTGGAGGGCCACAAGCCTTTCTCCATGCTAATGAAAAACTGCTCTAAATAATTTAAGTTCTCTCAGAAAAAAGATAGAAAGTCTGTAAAAAGCCTATCAGAAGCTGCTTCCATTACATGTTCCAGTAGACCATCTTCTGAGATACATATGAATCTGTGTTTCTTTCTAAAAGGAATACATTTAATTTCTATTCAGCTATTTAATCTCTCCAACTCTTTCTAGGAGATTATTAGTATTCAGGTCATAATATTACAGAAGGTAATTACTGACAAACCCATCAAAATGACCCATGCCTTTCTTTAATTAAAAAGAATTCTATTGCTGCATTTTTTATTTCCATTTCTTTTCTGGGAGCTCATATAAACCTTGTACTACCACTGCCTTTATATAGTTACAGTCCCAAAGAATGGAAATTTTTAAGAATGGAAAGAATTTTACCCACCCCCTGAGTGTTTCTTAATCTATTTATTTTAGGGTGAATGACTTACCTCCTTAGTGGTGTTCAATTACCAATATTTACTTATTTAAGAAATGTATATTGCCACCCAACTTACATAAATGTAACTCTGAGCAGCATATATCAATATAAAACAAAAGCTGAAGTTCAATTAAATTACAACAATAGTGAGAACCCTTTATATGCAATACACACTATCATCATGGCCCCAACGTTTAGGGAAAATACCAAGTTTTTTAATGTCAACAGGGCCAACCACATCTTGGAAGAACATTCCAGAAGGCAGGCGCTGCAATGAAAAAGGTACATTAGATGATTTGCTTCAAAGAAGGGACCAAAAGCATGCCTGTCCAATAACGATATGTGGAGTAGGCAGAAATAATCAGAGAAAAGTGGTCCCACAGAAAACCAGTCCTATTCCAAGTAGGACTTTATAAGTAATGACCAGCTCCTTGAACAGCAACTGGAAGCCTAGTGAGAGCCAGTACATAGTGATATTACATAGGTATACAGGTGGTCCTCAACTTACGACAACAATTGGAACCAGAAATTCCATCAAGTCATAAAGCGCGACTGCATCGCTTAGCAATGGCAATCCCTGCAGTCCTGTTGCCATCGTTAACTGAATTCCACAGTCATTAAGCAAAGCAACTTCCTGCCGGTTTCCCACAACCAAAGTCAAGTAGGGAAACAGGCAGAAAGTTACAAGTCCCAGGCCCACAGGCAGGTAAGTGGCTGCTGTCGGGTGGGGGAGGGAGCAAGGGTGTGCACAGGGGTGCAGGAGAGGATCAAGGGTGTGTGAGAAGCACAGCGCAGTGTGGGGGGGTTGTGTGAAGGTGTGAGAGAAGGTGCGAGGGGGTGTGCAAGAGGTGTGGGTTGAGGAGGGTGCGTGAGGGTGTGAGGCAGTCAAGGAAGGTGCACAAAGATAAACAAAAAGCACCACAAGGTTGGGGAGGGTGCAACGGAGGTACGGTGAGGATCAGGGAGGGTGTGTGGGGGTGCGTGAATGGCGAGTATGAGCTCAGAGGGGCTGGGGAAGGGTGTGTGGGTGTGGGAGACTTACCCCAGCAACTTGCAACCTTCCCTGTCAGTTTCCCCACTGAATTTCTGGGGAAGCCAGCAGGGAAGGTTGCAAATGGCGATCACATGATTGCAGGTGCTTGGCAACTGGTTGTAAGTGTGAACGGGTTGCCAAGCACCCAGATCACAATCACGTGACTGCAGGGGGGCTGGGATGGTCAGAACTCCAAGGACTGGTCATAACCACCATTCATTCAACATAGTCGTAACTTCAAATGCTCACTGATCGAATGGTTGTAAGTCGAGATCTACCTGTATTGAGGTGTGATAGCTACCTGTAGCACTGCATACTGTACCAACTGCAGCTTCCAGATGGTCTTCAAGGGTAGCCCATGTAAAGCACATTGCCGTAGTCCAACCGGGAGGCATAAATGACAACAAGCAGTTCCTTCCTATCCAGAAACAAGCACAATTAGTGCACAATATTAAGCTGTGCAAAAGTCCTCCTGGACACAGCTACAATCTGCTTCTTGACCAGAGCTATCTGTCCAGGAGAACCCCCAAATTGTACACTGGATCTGAGCAGGGAAATACAACCTCTCCCAGAGCCAAAGATCAAGGGAGCCCAAAACCAACAACCATCTTGCTAATGTTGAGCTGAAGCCTGTTTTTTCCCATGCAGGCCCCCACATTCTCCAAACACTGGGACAGAACCTTGACAGAGATATACAATACTGATGATACTGTACCCTGTGCTGATGAATGACCTCCCCCAGTTGCTTCATATAAATGTTAAACAAAATTAGGAAGAGGGTAGAGGCCTGAGGCACCACACATAGCTAGAGGTCTAGCACTAGACTGCTCCCCTCTGAACACCAACTGAACTAGCCCCAGAGGAAGGAGAAAAAACACAACACCGTGCTTCCCACTCCCAACCCCCTGTGCTGGTCCAGATTAATACCATGGTTGATGGTATCAAAAGCCATTGAGAAATTGAGGAGAGCCAGTATGGATGCACAGACCCCTCCAAAGATCATCAACAAACACAACCAATGCTGTTTTTGGTACTATGTCCCAGCCTGAATCTAGACTGAAAGGGATACAGATATTGTTTCCTCGAGAACCCTTAGGAGCTGCAAGTCAACCACCTTCTTGACAACCTTCCCTAAAAAGGTTGGGGACAGGACAAAAATTGTCCAATTCTATTGAATCCACTAATGAGGAAGAGGCAGGCCACAACGTCTTCTAGATGGTGAAACCACCCCATGATTCAAGGGTGTGCATTCAATTGCATGGGTCCAACTGCACGCCCCTCCCTGGAGGTGTTGTCCAGCCAGGAGGGGCATGGATCTAACACAAAAATGGTTGTACTAACAACCCCAAGAACCCTGTCCACTTTTGCAGGACTAACAAAGTCAAATTCATCCCAGATAATTGAGGTCAACTCCATAGGACATGAATAGCTGAAGTCCAACTCAGAGTAAATCAGATCAACTATCTGCCAACTGCTGAGAATAATCCTCACAGCAACCCCACAGGTGCTCCCCTGGCCCCTCTCTACCTGGGAGGGATTGGGTTACCCTGAACAGGGCCACTGGCCAGCATTTAAAGAACACAGTCAGAGTGCATACATAAACACATTTTACCATTCTTATTGCCATAAGGTAGACCTTAAGAAAAATTCTTACATGTGCTCAGTCTTGACTCTTCATCTTCCTCCAGTAAGCCTCTAATCATCTCTTCGACTGCTTGATCCTCTGTAAACTAAGGAGTCCATTGGGGTGGGTGTGCAGAGAGAATCCACACAGGGACAATCTGGTCCAAAGTGTAGAGAGTAAGGAAGAGGACCTTGACCAAGCTATGCAAGAACCATTACCTAGGCAAGAGGGTCTAAAACATTTTTTAATTCCTGAGAAATTGGGAAGATGCATCTCTGGTTCACTGGAATGTAAAGGGGAGAAGTAATAGTACAATCAGACTTGCAAAATTCTGCTATTATAGCTAATCTCAATAAAGGTAGTTCACCCTCTCATTCCAATCAGTGACTCATGCCTCAGTTGAACTGGGATCAAAACCTCACAGACAACCCTGTTTCCTCTGAAACCAAATTGGGTCCATCAAGTGTCTGGGGTGGACCAATCAAATAGGTTCTTACTCCTGGCAGTGGGGAACAGTCATAAAAAATTCCAGGAAGTGGAATCCATGACAGAGAACCAACGGCAATATTCTTCAACTCCAGATCACACTGCCACTCTCTTGAGACAAAAATAGGACTAGCATGTGGCCCCAACTCTAAGTTGAGTCCTCAATAAGCTGGGTCAGGTGGTAGCCATGAACTCCTGAGCTGCTGAATGTGCACCTAAGGAAGGCAGGTTCAAATCCTCCAGCACCATAAGCCTAGGGAATTCCACTGCCAACCTGGAGCATCACAAAGCATGGAGCATCACAAAGAAGCTGCTATACAGCAGGAATGCTGATACAGGAGCAGCAATCCCAGCTGATCTTTAAATGCCCAACCTCATACCCAGCTTTCTATGGGGCAGCACCTGAAAAGTGCTGACAGAGCCCTTGACAATCTCCAGAGTCTCAGGGATAATCACAGCCCTCCGCTATCTCTACTCCAAGGTCATGGCTGGTGCCACACTTGAAACCTGTATGGGTAAATTTTCGAAAGGGGACACATATACCCTGTGCCTAACCAAGTCCCAGTAATGCATGCCAGGTCAGCACTCTCATCCATTATTAAATTACGGATGAGGTGAGTGTTTGTAGAAGACATAGGGAATGGCCTTGAAGGACAGGAGGAAGAGCCTCTACCAAGGCAATAGTCAGATAAGCCGAGCTAGAGCCTGTTCCAAAAAACTAATTTCAGAAAACATCTCAGACAGGCCCCTTTCTAGTTCACATAAACTGAGGGAGTGGGAAGCCCGTTCAGACTTGCAAGATTCTATTAAAAGTAGTCCTGACCTACATGGCATTAAGTTCTTAATCTGTTCTACCTTATATGGCCAACAGCCTTATTAAAGACTGACCTGGCATTCAGCAGAAGCAGTCAGAGCCCAGGGTTGCTAGGCTTGATGACTGGGCTTTGGAGGCAAGTGCAGAAGGCCACAACACAGTACCAGTACAAGACATTGTGACTCCATTCTCTGATTCCCACCCCATCTCCCATTGTGCGTCACCACTGCAATGTTTTTGTCTGCCCCCAACTTCCCCAATATATTAACTTTCCCCAATGTCTGTCATCTCTCCCCCAGGCCTAGTGGCCCTATCCAGTGCTCACCCTCTCCCCATAGGCTGGACAACTAGGCAACTGGATACTTCTGACTAGCACTTAACATACATTTATGATGTGTGTCTCTTTACTAGCTATACATTAATAATGACAGTTGTCAATTTACAAGATGAACATTTTGAACAAGTTTATATCTGCCTTTCACTATTAAATGAAAAACAGAAAACCAATATATAGACATTTGGCATGCAAAGCTTGTTCATACAAGTTAAATGGCATATATTATAATCATATTGAGTATCCATTAGACTCAATCACAGAAAGATTTATTTATTGTCACATTGTTCATGATATTTGTCCTGGAAAGAGCCTCCCTTATACACATGGAATCAGTAGCAGGAGAGAGAAATTGCTTTTTCTTAAGAACTTTTTTGTTCTACAGTCACATCATGCTGTGGTAACATGCTCCCACTCACCTCTTGATGAATAGCTTCCAGAAAACTGGATTATAGAATAAAGAGGGATTATGTAGGCGGACAACAATCCCTTCTGACTTTTGCTGAAAGCCTTTTACTAAGCATTACCATATAAATGTGGATTCCACTACAACCCAGTGAGCAACCTGGTTCTAAGTATTGGTCATGTGGTTTCCACGCAGGGGACTATACTATGGAAGAGTAATCAAGGAATCATACAAGGAAACTGCCATATCTGCCATATTGAATCTCAGAAAAGTCACAAACCAACAAGCAGGAAACAACAGTGTAGACCTTTTTAATTTTTTTTTTAATAAAAATGCTTTATTAAAGGAGGCAGAATGAGCAACAGCACAGGAAGAGGGCACTAATTAAGGTAAAAGAATATAGTACATAAATACCTCCTTGATTACTGGTTCTTCAAATTATGTACATAGTAAAGCCTTTTACATTTATCCTCTTTGGGCTATCAAAAAAATAAATATCTATTTCAAGAAGCTTGAACATAAGTTTAACAAAGAATTTCGGGGGGGACAGATCTTACAGTTACAACCTAATTATTTTTCAATTTATAGAAATAAGCTATTGAAAATATTTTTTAAAATTTAGTTGTAAAGTAGTGGTCATTTTATTCTTTTCCAACAGCCTTTTGACATCCTAAAGCTAATTAGCTTATTGTGGCATTCATTTTTCCAGACTCCATCTGATAAAGTGGACTATAATCTACAGGAATTTATGCCACAACAATTCTGCTATTTAAAAATAATATATGAATTTTATGTAATTAATATTAACTGAGCATCCTGAGTGTGCAGTATATTACATATTCCTTCTACTTGCCTATTCTGTGGACAAGAGTATGTTGGTTTGCAAGATGGTGTCAATGTAAAGAACCTCATTTGCATAGCATAAGCAGACTGGGCCTTGGTTGTTCTTCTGGCAAAATGTACCACAACTGCTTAGCACTGCCCTTAATGTTAGCAGGGAAAGCTGCAAGTGGTACAAAGAAGGCTGGTAACCTGATCTAGACCTTCTCTATCTAGACTCAACCAACCAAAGCCATGATGATCAGTGGAGATCAATATTTTTGGATTCTTTCAGTGATGTCACTGTTGGATAGTAAATAGCTTTATACAGTGGGGAAAAAAGTGCATAAATGTCTGAAAGAAAATACAGATAAACTTTGTTTATAAAATTGCATGGTGAGAGAAAAGGCTTAATTACTTAAGTCTATCTGCAGCTAAGATCCTACAATGTGCTCTCCTCCTTATTAATGAGAGAGAGCAAGTCAGGTAAGAGTCTGAACTGTACAGAAGAGAAAGAAGACTGAACTGAAAGGAAGAAAATGATGAAAGCCATAAGAACATCAGTCTAACCAATAAGAGATGTGTTACATAGACACATGCAAATCAACTACAGTATTTTAGACAAGGAAAGAAGGTAACAGTGCAGAGTCCCTCTGCTAACTATCTCTACATCTGTTGCCTGTAGTGATTAATAGGTCCAGAGATACAGAAAGCCAAGGCATGAATTATAGCTTATAGAAGATTGCAACTTGAATGTAAAATGAACATATATCCTGAATTAACAAATTAAAAGGAAAAGGTAGATATGTGTCTGTAAAATTAAGAGAAAAGGAAAAGATGTAATAAATCTGAATGAACATGCTTTTATTTTGTGGAATGGAGTTGAGAAATACATGCAGGGAAGTGAAAGGATAGGTTTAATCATGAATGAAAGGGTTAAAATGTATGTCAAAATGTAGGTATGGGTAAGTTCTAGGTTGCTATGGGTGCACATAAAAGTAAGAATCTATAGGTAGGTGATAGTCACATATTATGTTTCAGTGTATGGTGACAACTTAAGAGCCAGAGATGACTTTCAGGAAAAAACGTGCATTATTCTGAATGAATGCAATTCAGGAGGAAAAAAAGATCTTCTGTGAGATGACATGAATGGATGGGTGGGAATGAGATGAAATAAAACAGCAAAAATGGGTCAGCTATTTTGAGTTGCAAGAATGAATGAGAATGATGACTAGTGAGTATCTGCTTAGAAAAAGGTCTGTTTTGAATACATGGTTTAAGCATAAGTCTATCCATATATATATACATGGCAAAAGAATGAATTGAAAAGCATGATTGATTTTATTGTTTCTCATGAATAACTGACAGAATGAGTGAAGGGCATAAGGATAATGAACATGGGACAGACCAGTTTTTAGTAGTGTAGAGTGCATCTGTATAATTTGTGAATATAGATATAGGTAGATCTCAGCAGTACACAGTATTATTTGTAGAAGTAGAAGCATGCACACCCAGTTAAGGGAAGAAGTAAAAGCAGGGAAAGTGTAGGAGGGGAAAGTATGAGCCCTGTATGACAAAGTATTAGAACATTGATTAATTTTCCAAAGAATAAATGCAAAATGGAAATAAGGAAGAGGATATGGAACCTGTTTGGAATAGTGAGAAAATAATTATGTTAGAGAATGCCATTGAACTGTGTAAAGTTATGCTACGGTACGGGAGG